AGGGACATGTTCCACACGTGTGCTGGGCCCTGGGCACGCGTGCAAAGCGCAGAGGGAATTCACGTCCAGGCAAGTGGGTAATGAACTGCTGGGTGTCTCTGGGCAAGAGGATCCTTTAAAAATAAATAAACTGAGCAGTGCTTGCTTCCCCAGGCATACATACTCTATATGTAGGCACTGGGTAGGAAGCACATTATGCTGAAATTTCCTTCTTCACTCAGCTCTGAGAACAAGTGGCCTCTTTCAAGCTGATTTGCTCCAGTTTGGCACCAGGCAGTAACACTGCAAAGCCTTTAATCTTCCCTCTCCTGCAGCCCCAGCATGGCTGCCCCTCCACCTCCTGCACTCAGCTCCACCAGCTCGGCAGGTGGCCACCCCAGGGGACAACCCCATCCCCGACCCCTTGGCCTGGGCACAGCTACCAGCAACCTGAAGCTTTCCTCTGGTAGACACAAGAGCCATGCTTTTGGGGATCTCGAGCTCAGGTTTCTGGGGAAGGTTTCTGTGGCTGGTATCTGCTAGGTGAGGGTGGGTCATCTCATGTCACACATCTCACGAGTGCTTCCTAAGTAAGTTTGCAGATGACACTAAGCTGGGAGGAAGCGTCGATCTGCTTGAGGGTAGGAAGGTTCTGCACAGAGACTTGGACAGACTGGATCGATGGCCCAAGGCCAATTGTGTGAGGTTTAACAAGGCCAAGTGCCAGGTTCTGCACTTTGGTCACAACAACTCAATGCAAAGCTACGGGCTTGGGGATGAGTGGTTGGAAAGCTCCGTGGCGGAGAAGGATCTGGGGGTGCCGGTTGACAGCCGACTTAACGTGAGCCAGCAGTGTGCCCAGGTGGCCAAGAAGGCAAATGGCATCCTGGCCTGCATCAGAAATAGTGTGGCCATCAGGAGTGGAGAGGTGATCATGCCCCTGCACTCAGCACTGGTGAGGCTGCACCTCGAGTGCTGTGAGCAGTTCTGGGCCCCTCATGACAAGAAGGATGTTGAGTTGCTGGAGCGTGTCCAGAGAAGGGCTACAAAGCTGGTGAAAGGGCTGGAGAATAAGTCCTATGAGGAGAGGCTGAAGGAACTGGGATTGTTTAGTCTGAAGAAGAGGAGGCTGAGTTGCTCTCTACAACTACCTGAAAGGAGGCTGTTGGGAGGTGGCCTCTTCTCTCAAGTGAATAATGACAGGACAAGAGGAAAGGGCCTGAAGCTGCACCGGGGGAGGTTTAGGCTGGATATTAGAAAGAATTTCTTTACCGAAGCAAAGGTTGGACAGTGGAACAGGCTGCCCTGGGAGGGGGTGGAGTTGCCATCCCTGGAAGTGTTTAAAAGAAATATAGACATCGTGCTTAGTGACATGATTTAAGCACTGAACAGGTAAATGATGTTACGGTAGGAGGATTTAGGTTATGGTTGGACTTGATGATCTTCAAGGTTCCTTCCAACCAGGATGATTCTATGATTTCATGATTCTATGTTCCTTCCAAAGCAGAGCCCTTGATGCCCCAGCATGAAGAACTGCTCGGTGACCTCTAGCCACTGAAGGAGAGCCCATCCCTGCCATCAGCTTTGGTAAAGATTGTTTTGTGCCTGCCCATACATCTGAAAGGGATCAAACTGTGACAACCAGGAGCCTTTGTTTGTGCAGGCAGAATGGGGCTGAGGGGAAAGTGCAGTAGCCAAGGAAGTTACAGAGGCGAGGGCTAAGGCTTCCTCAGCACACTGTGGGAGCGATGCACAGCAGTACCACGCTGGGTTCCCCTCTGCTCCCAGCCTTCCACCACTATCTTGCAGGAGGCTACTGGACTCCTGAGTGTTCATGGCACTGGCCTTGAAGGTATGGACATCAGCCTCAGTCCTCTGGGACATGATTGCCTCAGACACAGTCCTGCGTTCAACCCCTGCTGATGGTGTCACCTTTGTTTTGACAGCTGCTGAGAAGAGTTTCAAAGCCCCAAACTCTCTTCCAACCATCACATCGCTTTGCCCTCCCTGCTGTGCCCCTTGGGACCCACTGACACACAAACCTACTTAGCTTAATTCAACACTCCTGCTGCAGAGCACTTTCAAGTGCTTATCTGCAAGGCGCAGGTTCCAGGGGAGGTGGCCTGTGGCTCTCAGAGCCTGGTGTGTCCCTGCATTTACCTCAGTGATGAGACAAAGTCCATAGCATGCCCAGCGGCTGTACTGATAGAAAGGATGGTGCATCAGGATGATGCTGTGGAAACACAACATTAGTTGTGAACAATTGTGATCACAACTGGTGCTATCACAGGATGCTGCACAACTCCGCAATGCCCCGCACGCCTGTTGTAAGTCAGAGCTGAGCCCTTTCAAACTCAGCAAGTGCTGTTAAAATGAAGCTCATACCTCATTACTGGATTGACAAGTAGCTTAGCATTGATTTAATGAGTTCCCTTTAGAAGCCTCTAGTACTGCATTCCTTGGAAGATTAAGGGTTGCTTTTATTATTTCTTCTAATGATGTTACTGAGCAGGCATGAGAATCTGAGATATGCCCTGATTACCCCTGGGTGAACCCCATTTACAGGGCATATTTACTGCAGGAATCCTTCCAAACATTGCACAGATGGAATTTCACATCTGACAAAAGAAACAGATAAAGTTTATTGAGAAAAAAAAACAACCCTTAATACCACCCGAGTTTGTATTTGCTTGCTCGTGCAGTTGCGCCTCTTCTGTGTTTTTAGCATGAAAACTGCTCTCCATAGACTGGTTGTGCAAAATGATATATATATATATATATTTTATTTTTTTTAAAAAAAAGGAGTATATGACAGACGATATGCCTTATCAACATCTATGGGATCGCTCACCACCTGTTCAAAATGCCAGAACATCTTTGTGTTGAACTGTAAAGGTGCCAGGGAGCTCTGCACAAGCCTTGCTTCTGGGGGGGCTGTCAGGCAACCAACTCATTAAAGCCCCGGCAAAGGAGACGTGGTGCCTTCAGCTCAGCAGAGCCAGCACGCTCCTGTCCGCCGGCGGGGTAAAGCTCTGCGGTGGCAGAGGGGGACCAGCATCACGCCTAAGCCCTTGGAGATGGAGGAAGAGGAGCAGCCTGCTCTGGGGAACCTGGCAGAGATTTGGATTCCCCAAGGTTTTGTTCCTGAGAACTCAGCTCCAGCAGTTGCATTGGGGGTCTCCAGGGAAGCGGTGGAGGGGTCGGTGGGCAATGGGGGTGGGCACAGTGGGACCGGAGTGTAAGTGCCAGCTCTCCCTTTATCTCTTTGCTGTGGTCACTCGTGCAGCAAAGGGGAGGGAAGGGAAAGGGTATCTTTGCTGTTTCTTTTTAAAGGAGAAACGAAGCGAGGCTGGGCAAAATGAAAATTTAGAGCAGGAAGAGGAGAGATTTGAATTCTGCAAGTCAGAGTTTACTTGCTCTTGAGCCTCGCAGCCACTGTCACTCTATCACACAAAAGGCACTCGGTGTGTGGCCGAAGAATTGCTGACAAAAAGAAGAAAAAAGACCTCCCGGCAACGCGGCTGCACCGTTTCTGTTCAAAAGCAGCGAGCTGTCAGCCTGACAGCCCGCAAGCCTTCCCTTGCAGCCAGAACACGTTTCCCCCGCAGTTTCCCTCGCGCTGTGAACCGTGGCTAAGCAAACAGGGCAGGCTGATGGAAGGGGAAGGTCTAATTAACGTGGATGGCCGTGTACGAGCAGCCGGGCAGCGGCGGCGGGGACCCCGCAGCCCCGGCCATGGGGGGCACATCCCCGGGCACCGCAGCCCCGCAGCGCCCGCCTGCTCTTCAGCCCGGCGCTAGGGAAGAGCTCATCGGTAAAACCCCCGCAGCAACCTCCGAACAACTCGGCACGCCGGGCTTCCCGGCCCCTACTGCTTGGGTGAAAACGTCTCTACAGGAATAAACTTCGTAAACACGTCGCGACGCTGCTCTGGGAGGGGAATCCTGGGGGGCTGCTGAGCCAACAAGGATCCCGGGCCGGCAGAGCCAGCC